TGTAATTGTTCTAACAATTATGGCTTTTATGGTCATCTTTTAATATTTCGACCATGGTGGTCGCTTACTTTAATTTGCACTATTTAAGTATTTGCTTTTGTTTGTGCATGAGTTATTGCTTTTGTTAAGTTTTTCATGTCTGTATGCTGGTCTGCTTGACCATTTATTTTGATGAAGAGTTTTGGGGGGTTTGCTCATTAATATTGAGGTTCGCCAGTGTGGGGAGACTGGTCGAACGGCCAAGGTAATTTTCGGGCATGGGCCAGAACTCAGGTCTTGTTTTGGTCCTGAGCTTGAAAGCATGAACTTCCCATCGCAAGTTGTGTGTTCTTCCATAGTGGTACGACGATGGTGGAGCTCGATTGAGTTTTCCCCATCAGGAAAAGAATCTGCTCGTTAAGAGAGTGGAAACTTGCATCTTTGTTTAATTTGAGGTGCCATGCTTGTACCTAGGCTTTCACATATGGTCGGGTTAACTGTGTTCATCGTTTTGAAAAAGCACGCCGAATGTGTTTGTGCCTAACTGTAATATTGCTTCAGTTTTTCGGTGTTCTAAGGTTGAGCAAGTTGTTCCCCGTGTAGGTTCTCTAAGAAGTAGGCCTCATTCCCCGTTTTAGCATGGATGTGATATGGGTCTTCCCAGTTTGTGGCGAGCTTTCCTTTGCGAGACTCTTTATGATTTCTCTTTAGGACTAAGCTTCCGACTTTGAATTCATACTGTATAACTTTGGCGTCATGTCGTATGGCAATTTTTGGTTTGAGGGAGGCTTCACGTAGAGCCGCTCCTGCTCGGATTTCTTCGACGAGGTCGAGCTCCTCTTTTAAAGCTTTATCGTTTATTTCTTTATCGAGAGGGGCTTCAGCCCGTCTTGAAGGCTCTCTGATTTCGACAGGGATGACAACCTCAATTTCGTATGCTAGTCAGAAGGGAGTTTCCCCGGTGGATGAGTGAGTTGTTGTTCGATAGCCTCATAGTACATTGTGTAGCTCCTCGACCCATTTCTTTTTGGTTTCGTCCAACCTTCAACTGAAGCCTTGTAGGATCACCCTGTTCGTAGACTCGGCATGCCCGTTCGTTTGTGGGTGCTCGACGAATGCAAAGTGTTGGATGGTGCCTAACCTGGCAACGAATTTCTGGAAATTTTTGTCTGTGAATTGTGTCCCGTTGTCGGTGACATTTGCTTGGGGGATGCCGAACCAGACAAGAATGTTTATTTTGTAGTAACAGAGAATGTCTTGCACGGTGAATCTGGCCAGTGCTTCTTCTTCTATCCATTTTGTGAAGTAATCCATGGTTACTATCAGGTATTTATTTTGGTTTGATCCCACAATGAATGGTCGGGGGATGTCCAGGCCCCACCATGCAAAGGGCCATGGGGATGAGAGAGACTTGAGCTCGTTTGGATGCGCCAAGTGCATGTCCCCGTGGTGTTGGCATTCGCACACTTCTTTACATGCTCCTTGGCGTCGTGATGTATGGTAGGCCAAGGATATCCTGCCCGTAATAATTTTCTGGCAAGGGATCTTCCACCCAGGCGTTGGCCGTTGATTCCTTCATGGATTTCACACAGGATGTGGGCTACTTTGTTTTCTTTGACACATTTGAGGAGGAGGTGGAAAATCATATTCTCTATAATCTACCTTCGATTAGAGCGTAGGAGCAGGCTCTTCGTCTGATTATGCTAGCCCCTTTTTGATCGATCGAAAGTTCCCCTTTTGTGAGGTAGTTATATACCTGGGTCATCCAGCAGTTACTGTCACCAATGGCACACACGTCGAAAACCGAGGAGGGTTTTTCAATGCTTGGTCGAGGAAGTATTTCTTATATTACTGATTTGTTTCCTCCCTTCTTCTTTGTGCTCACTAGTTCCGATAGGATATCCGCTAGAGTGTTGTGTTCACAGGGAACGTGTTATACGTTTACGAACTTGGATTTCTTCATTCTTTCCTGGACCAAAGTACAATATTCTGAGAGATAATCGTTCTTGACCTGATATTCTCCATGTACTTGAGATGAAATGAGCTGGTGTGAAGATCTTTACTTCTTTGGCCCCTAAATCTTTGTCCAGACATAGTCCTGCTAGAAATGCTTTGTACTTGGCTAGGTTGTTTGAGGTCGGGAAAGATAATACGAGGGAGACTTTGATCAAGATTCCTTCCTTATTTTCCAGTATAATGCCTGCTCCGAGTTGGGTATGGCAGGTCAGTTGGCTGTTCTGATTTGTGTGCTAATGGAGCTCAAACCCTAATCCGCTGGTGCAAAGCATCTTCTTGCTGCTTGTATGTCCCCCTGAAGGGTGGCGACGAGTCCCTCCTTGGTGTAGTATTTAATATTTAGGTGCACAATGGATGGCACCACTATCAGTTTGGGCAGGGTAGGTCTCTCGAATATGCACTGATACAATGATGGGCAGTCCACCACGAGGAACTGCGTCTTGATCGACCTAAGGATTTCTTCCGCCCTGAATGTGACAATTAGCTCGACATATCTGCAGGGTTTGGTTAGTTGTTTATTCCTTGGAGGTCGTATCCTACGTAAGGGTTCAAGTGGGTCTCGTTGAGCTATAGGGTAGAAAACAGTTGGGAGTACATTACATCAACCGAACTGCCTTGATCGACCAAAATACGCCTGACATCGAAATTGACCATTCGTGCTCGTACGAGCATAGGAATACTAGAGTTAGGAGCTCTGACAGACAGCTCTTCTTGGTAAAATGCAATGGGAATGGAGCTTTCCCTGATCTTATCGAGAGTGACACTCTTGTCAGAGAAACAACCGGCTGAAAATCATCAAACAATGAAGTCGCCATCGAACGTCTTTTATCCCGCATGAAAGGAAAGGTAAACAACGAGAAAACCTGAGAAGGGAGAAGTCACGGTCTTGCAACCGAGAGATCGGTTAAGGGAGTATGTTATGCAAGGGGAAGGTATTAGCACCCCACACGCCCGTAGTACTCTATGATATCCACTCTTGTTGTCTATCTTATGGGTGTGTTTAATCTATGCTTACTGTTTACTGCTGAGGAAGAATGCATGCAAAAGAAAGGAGAAAAGAATGTAGGGAAAATAAAGTTGTACTCGCTTGGGCCCTACCCCAATTCCTACGTATCCTTTTTGAGGAATCAGAGTTACTATAGTTCGGCTCACATGTTTTTTTTTGTTTTGTGTTTTTTATGAACAATGTTAATTTCGCCTTCTGCCGCAGCTAGACCTTTGGAGACTTACCTAAAAAGGGTTTTTGGAGAAAAGGTGGTTGGGCGTACAAAAAGGTTTGAGTTGCTTTATATTTTGTTACCTTGAAGAAGGGTTTAGGTATGATTAGCATGTTTTTGATTTGCTAAGAAAAAGAGTTTTAGTTTTGAATGCAAGGATGCAAAAGTGGAAGAAAAGAGTCTAAGGGGGACTAGTCTATTTCTAAACCTAATGTTATCATACAATGGTAGCCCTAAGGTTTGGATTAACAAAAGAGAAACATCTACCTAATATTAGTATGCATGGTTTACAACCTAAGGTCTAACTTGCATCCGAAAGGAACAAGCATATCCTAAGGGAACATGGTATGTACAAGGATAAAGCAAGCAATCTTGAAATAGCACACACATAAAATAGTAAGGAAAAGAAACGAAATGCTTTACTCAAGGGGAGCGTATCACCCGAGACAAATAAGCGGGAGTAGGATGTAAAAACAAAAAATATGATGTCCAAAGCGACTGAACACCTAACCAAGATATAGGAGATCGAGGTAGGCGACAGAAGACGATATGAACGATCACATAGTATTAGTATCGGCCAATGCAAACTCCTGATAAAGCGTGGGGGGTCGATTGTGGAACCCTTCCCCACTTGATGACTTGATACACAAGAGCAGGCACAACTTCGAAGCATCGTGGTGCATCACGAGCTAATGGATGACACAGATGAAATTGCAGGGGTTGATTACTAACCCTCACCGCACGCCTCCTTTTGAGGACTTATCATCTGTACATATACGGGTACAAATATAAACACACCTGCAGAATACCTACTCAAAGATGGGATTTTAAACAACCACAAATAGCAAACAGAATGCACACAATGCGGAATTTCCCTAAACGGATCTTTAAATAAACCAGAGGGGTTCCTGACATGATTAGCAACAGAGACCCCCGTCATACATCTCTACCCTACCTCTCATGGCATCAGAAAGCAGTAAAGTCCTACTTCTCATGATTTTTAGAAAAGCGGTAAAGAAGTATGATAAAGTGCGGAAGTGAAGAATAAAATAAAGTTGCAATGGTACCGAACGGAGAAGGTTCGTTGACTCTTCAAAAGCACACAAGCATAGAGAAAACTCTGCAGAAGCTGCTTCACACAAGTGATCAAAGAATTAATCTCCCAGCATTCCATATTGCGAAAATTGCATAGACATTCTATCGTAAAATCTTAGCTAACAGAAAAGGTTCGTCGCCTCTTCAAAGCCACACAAAAGCTCGAGTAATTTGCAGAAGCTTCACACAATCAACAAAATTAATTATCGAGCTCACAAATCAACAAGTTATCACAAACTCAGTGCAAGAGTAGTAACACCGATTAATTATGAAAAATAAGGACAAACTCAATTAAATTCTAGAAGAGAGTTCCTAACATCAATTAGCATATTTTTCTATTTTCTCTCATGTATCCCTTTTATCACCAAAAATCATGGAGGAAAAAATTAATATGGATAGAAATTAAAATTCTAAAACAGAAGGAGTGTGCAAATTAACTCTTGGGTGTGTGGTTCAGCAACAATGACCCTAAGGCCCATAAGATACTGGATCCAAGTACAAACCACTAATCAACCAGAATTTCTACCAAATATATTTTCCAGCATTATTTTGTGATTAAGTATTATTAATATAAAAAAATTAAACAAAAAATTAAGGGGAAGAAAGGCCATCACGCATCGTTTTGAATATAGGGTTCAGATTTTTGTCTGTATAGCATTTGCTAGAAAGAAGCTTTCCTTCATCAGAGCTTCAATGACGCTGCCTTCCACCTTTCTTTCCGTCCACCGTTTGCTTCGCCGACCTCTTGGTGTTCTTTCCTCTCTTCCACTGTCCGATTCGGATACCACCGTGAATAAAAAAGCCATCGCCGATCTTCATCGCATCTTCAACGTTCTTCGCCAATCTCTATTTCAAGCTTCTCTGCTGCGGATTGAACTCTCGATATTTGTCCATGAATTCAAGCTTTATGATTCCGCACCCATTCGCTGTTGTTGTCAGCTTCAATTCGCTCTCCTTCGCGATTTCCGTTTGATTGTGACTCATACTTCGTCTCAATTCCAATTCGATTTTGACGCGACAAAGACAATGAACCAAAAGGTACCTGCATTCTTTATTATTCACTCTTCTTAATCTTCTTTGTCTTTAATTTTGTTTCTGTGTTTCTGTAATTGATTCTGAATTTTGATGTTGATGAAGATGCTTGATACCACTGCGAATCGTTGCTTGAAGATGCTTGATAGGAAGAAGATGAACACAGTTGATGCGATGAAGATGAAGAGGATGCAATTGTTGTTGATTGTTGCTAAATTGATACTTACGGATCAATCGTCATTGCAGATGTAGATTTGATTATGCATAATCAAGATTTGTGTTGGTGACGATGAAGTGCAGTAGCAAAACGAGAGAGTGTAGAGAAATTAATGCGGTTTTCAGGGAGAAAGATGAAGCTTTTTCTATAGATTCTATGAATAACCCTATGAAGATGAAGATAGAATGTAGAGAATTTGTAGGTTAATGATGATGCTTGCCCTGATTTTAGAGAAGGATTGAGAGGCTTTCAGAGAAGAATTTACGGGTTAGTTTTTGATATTTTGCTCTGAATTTCTGTTGTGAATTGTATAGAATAGATAGATATTGTTTTTTTGAGTTTTCTCTGTGTAGATGTATTGTGAGTCCCTCTCCCTCGAAATCATGGATGATTCCTCTGCTATATAGTACAATTAGCTTGCCAAAGCTGGTTAGAGATATTAGGAAGTTAGGAATTCTGTTATGCAGGGTAGTTATGTTGTTAGAATGGTTGGAAACAGTTATAGGTATTAGATGGTTAGCGACTGTTATAAACAGCAGTTACAGGTTAGAGAATTGTTGAAATCAGATTCTGTTATGAATTTGTTATAAAAACACTGTTATGAATTCTGTTATTTTGCTTTTTCTATTAAACAGTTAGAAGGTTGTGGACAGGTCTTGGGTTTTGTTATGAAGAATGAAAGAGCTTAGCTATTTTCTGTTATTGAGAAAAAAGTTAGTTATAGTGTTGCAGTCAATTATAGGTGAGTTGCCCTTTTATTAAGAGGTTGGAAAATGTTAGGGGAAACCGTTAGGGGTTAAGAGGGAGTTAGAAATTGTTATAAGACAGATAGGGATGGAAGAGTTAGGCAGAAATCTGTTAAGAAATCAGTTTGGTAGTTCTGTTTGGAATCATCAGTTCCTTTGGAAGTTGGAATTCTGTTATGTTTTCTGCTAGTAGTGTTGTTTCTAACATCTGAGTTTTGAACTCACGATTCCACCCTTTCTTTTTTTTGCAGCAGGGCACGGTTTAGGCTTGCTATACAATATGAGGTTTTGATATTGTTATCTGTACTAACAGTTAAGTCTAATTGCAAAACTGTTAGTGAATGGATAGTTTTGACCTGTTTAATGCAGGTTTTCAAGCATGAAATTTAGCAAAGAAGACAAGGCATGGTCGAGTACTCCTTTGGTTCAATTTAAGACTTGAAGAGAATGAAATTATGGAAGATGGGAAATAATTTGAAATGTGGAGACTTATCATGGAAAACTTTGAAGTATGAAGAAAAAAGTTAACATAGGTTTTAGTTTTAGGTCAAAACTTATGTAACTCTTTTTATGTATTTGTAATGTAGCATGATTGTACTGGATATGGATTGAATACGGTCATGTAGTGTAAGTTGTAAAGGGATATTGTAATGAATATGCATGGCGACTTACCTTTGTAATGCCTTTTGAAAATTTATAGTGAGCTCTGAGATCAATGAAGGAACTTCACCTTTTCTCTATGACTTCTTCAAAAATGTATTTCTCATTTCTTTTAGTTTGTACTTTAAATGAATCATCATGGATTTCCCTTATGTTTTGAAATCTGAACTCCAAGCAATCCACATGCCTGGATTTTCTTTACTTGCACTATTGAATTAATCAACCATGCCTAGACGCTGTGACTTTCCTTTTTTGAGAAACTTGTGATATTTGGTACCTTTTGTAAAAGGAATGCAATCTTGCGCACTCTTGAATCAATTATCCATAAACCAAACCCTCGAATCATACTAATTAATCACTTGGCAACATTGAATTCATGGTCCACTTAAATGAACATCTCACCATAACGAATCCAAATCGACTTTAATTCTTAACGAACAAAAACCTAAACCAACTTGCCTTCTTGTTAAAACCCTAACCTCAAACTCAAATCCATATTAAATTCCTCTACAAGCAATAAGAAATTGAGAGGATAACAATGTCTTAATCACAGATCTTACCTCTTCATCTTTTGTACCACAACCCTTATCTTTCGACCCTCAAAGATATCTTGACTTGGTAAGCACATAATGGGAATGCCTTGAGGAATCTGATTATCACCTTGGATGCACATTGATAATGAAGATAACTCGAGGTGATAGAGGAAATCAGGACCTTAGCTTACAAAGATCCTCAGTTGAACTCTTGATGGATCATAACAAGTCAAAACCCTAACACCCTGCCTTGATTGCTGAAGAAACACCTTGAATCTCTTGAATAAAGATAAGAGTCTCAAAGCCATAAAGAAACCCAAAGTCTCAATATCCTCAATCTCATGCCAAATTATTGACCAATGATGCATGACGTGTAAAATGACCTTACGGGAGCTATGTACATGAGAGGAGAATTACATGAGCTAGATAAGAGTGAAAGGGTAGGACAAATTCGGGGTATTACAGTTGAAGCTAGCTTCCATAAGTTGGTCCAAATTCTCTTGATTGAGCACACCATACATTTGTTGAAGCCCCCTCCGGATATAACCTTTATTATGGAAAATGTCTCCCACGCATTGTGGGTGGCGAAGTACAGAGGGACTTTGTTCAGGTTGGGGAAGTAGAAGTCTTCTGGTCGGGTGATGCTCAAGGTAACGGACATGAGGCTTTCATCGGATGAGGGCTTTTCCTCTTCAACTTTCTTGGACTCCTGGGCATCCTAGTAGGTGCCTTCCTTTCTTTTATATTGTTTGAGATTCCCATCTCGGATGAGTATCTCGATGACATCCTTCAGGTGGAAGCAATCTTCTGTATTATGCCTGTGACTTTTATGAAACTGGAAATACTTGCTTTTTTCCATCCCTGGATTGGACGGTGTTTTTCGGGGAAAGTGAACCCCAGCTTTCTTGAACTCCAAGTTTGCACATTAGGTCAGAATACGCTCCAGTGAAGCGTTGAAGGGAGTGTAGTCGTGAAAATGACCAGCGAGCCCCTTGTAGTCTCTTGAATCATGATATTTGTCCTCCCTTTTCTATTCTGCTCCCTGAACGAGATGTCGAGGGATGGTCATTCTTTGAAACTTTTGCATTCTCACGGTGTCGCAAGTTCAACCTCTTTCTCCTTGTACTAGATGTACGCTTGTGCTTTGAGCAGGAGGGAATCCAGCGTTGCTGGAGTTTCTATGCCAACTGCTTTGGTGAAGTCACTACAAGGGCGTAAGCCTCGCTTGAGGAGATATTTCTTCATCTCGTCCGTCATGGAGACCTGGACGGCTTCTAGGTTGAACTTTTCAATATACGCTCGGAGGGACCCATCCTTACCCTGGATGATGGCCTCTAGTGCATCTTCTGATTTAGGGTGTCAGCGAGATGCTGTGAAATGCCAAGAAGTGATAAACTCATCAGGGAAGCTCTAGTACCAAGCCATGACTCTGTTTCCGAGCATTTCCGGGAAGAGTCAGCATTTATTACTCCTCGACATCCTGTGTAATCGAGCAAAGCATCAATGTTCTCGATGTGCTCGTATGGATATGATGTCCTATCGTATTTCCAAGGTGTGGGGGCTTGCCGACAGGAAGTAGGGTCTCCATGATTTCTCTAGATAACGGGATGCGGGGTTCATCATCATTGATGTGATCAGGAGATGATGGTGGAGAGTATTTGTTTCTTCCTCGTCGGGGTATACTGTCGGGACGAGGAGATATTCTCCTTTGTTGGCGCTTTAGCTTGGGTGATGGTGAGCGATCGTCATATGGCCGTAGATTACCCTTTGTTTTCTCGGTGATTAGGGAGCATTGATCTTTCTGGGGAGGGGTTCAACCTTGTTTCTTGAGAAACGATATTTTTTGCTTCCCCTGCATGGGACGGCGGCCACACCTTGATGGTGATGGATTGCGAGAGTCCTGTCATCAGTATCTCTGAGGGGGGATCTTGACAGGAGCTTCTTCTCCCAATCTCCAATCCTATTGCTATATTGCAGGATTAGGGCATTGGTTTAGTTGAGAGCAACGAGCAGAGCTGCAATGGTCGTATCGGTGTTGGGTGGGATTGGAACTGGCTGGAGGATCGCTGGTGGGTCCTCGATGGATTTCTTGGACTTATGATTCTCCAGGAATTGAATGTCATCGTGATCTACGTCGACCGAGTTAGGGGACGCGGTTCGACCGTCTCTGGTGTCAAGGATATCCTCGAGGTGAGGAGGCTCTCCGTTTCCATCTATCTTGCGGACAGGGGAAAGGATGGTTTTTCTAGAAAGATGGTTGTCTTCATGATCGGCCATGATAGGAGTTTTTGAATGTCGCTTTGATATTCAGATTCGAGGAAAGGAAGATGGGGAAAACATAATTCCCACAGATGACACCACTGATCTTACCGTTTGATCAGAGTCTGAAAGTGGGCCGAAAGATGACGTCTGCTAGACTGGAAATTTGAGGAGAGGAGGGGGTGTACCTGCAAGGCACTCTGACGATCAAGTAAGAATGGGTGCAAAGAGATACAAGAAAGAGATTAGGGTTTTTAGAATGAATATTCGATACTTTGCCCTCATAAGTGAGAGGGTTTATATAATGCCTCCGGCGCTTGGCCATTGGTCATTATTTTTTAGCCTAGATATTAGGATCCTAGGAAATAGGTAACATCCAGGACTTAGTTAAAACGGATAATCATGCTCATAACTAGTCGTTGCTCCGAGCAAGGTAAAGATTACAGGAAGATACGTTATAAGTGTTTTCCTGGTTGTCTGCTCTACATGGGTCGAGCAGATATGGAGGTAGTTGCTGATGCAGGCAGGCGCATGGCTCAGGGCATCATTGGTCTCTCTGTTCATTGGGTACAATCGACCATGTATGCTTCACTGAAGGGCCAAAGCTAGTGGGTCAAAGTTGTTTAGCCATGCGGAAGGTAGACGTGGATTGGGCTATGCCTAGCCACTGGACCAATCTAGAATAATGGGATAACTCACTCAATGAGATTTCTGACGCAATTGATCGCGTCTTGTTTCGAGTTAGGAAACTCAAGATACACTAAAATTAGTGCTGCTAAAAATTATGTACCAGAAGTCTCACTAAGGGGGTCAAAGCGATATCTCGCTTAGCCAACC